TATTTAAGGGTGTTAATTGTATTTTACTTTAATGTGAAACATGTTATTTGACAAAAAATCATCGTATAAATTTTGCTCCAAAATCATACTATCCTTCAGAACCTTTTTTCATGATCCATAGTGATGTTTGAGACCTTCAAAAGTCAAAACATTATTTGGAAAAAGGGGATTTGTGACGTTTATTGACGATCACACCAGGATATGTTGGGTTTATCTTATAAGCAAAAAGTTAGTAGTTGAAAAACTTTTTAAAGATTTTTACAACATGATTGAAACTCAATTTGAAATTAGAATATGCATCCTTAGATCTGACAATGGAACTGAATATTTTAATGAATGTTTAGGGGGATTTCTTAATAAACAAAATCATAATTCATCATACTACTTGTTATGACACCCCACAACAAAATGAAATTGCTGAAAGAAAAAATAGACATTTATTTGAGGTTCCTTGGACTATTCTATTTTCAATGAACGTTCCTAAAATTTATGAGGGGACGTTATTTCAACAACATCATATTTAATAAACCGAATGTCAACTCGAGTTTTACAATATAAAACTTCTTTAAACAAACTGAAAAATAGTTTTTCAATTCTACGAATGTCTTCAAATATTCCTTTAAAAAAGTTTGGATGCATATCTTTTGTTCATATTCCAAATAAATTCTGATCAAAATTAGATCCAAAATCTGAAAAATACATTTTTCTTGGATATTCTTCAAACAAAAAGGGTTACAAATGTTTTAATCATGTCACCAAAAAAATTTACATTAGTATGGATGTGATCTTCATGAAAAAAATTTCTTTTTTCACAAAAACTCGCTTCAGAGGAAGTATAATACAGATGAAGACGATGATTTTTGGCAAGTTTTTAATTCATTACCAAGAATTGTTCTAACACCAAGTACACTTGAAGTCCGTGAAAACAAAGTAACCAGAAATAGTTGTTGAAAGTAAAAAAAAAAACATGAGAATCCTAGTCAAGAGACTCCTGAAATTATCTTGTTTAATACAGGGGGAGAAATACCACATAATACAACAGTAGAGCATCTGGTTTATTCCAGGGAGAGGCTTTATAAAAGGAAAAATGTTCAAATTGAATCTTTAACTCCCTCCCAATCTGAAGAACCAAATGATGGTCCTCAAGAAATACAGGTAATTTCCAATCTTGATCTTACTTTTTCACCAACAGAAACTCAAGATTTAGAGGTTATGAATCTGGATCTTCCTATAGCCTTTAGAAAATGAGCACTTTCTTGGACTACCAAATATCTCATTTCGAAATACCTATCATATCAAAAATCCTCACACAAATATCAAGCTTTTTTATAAAAAAATTTTAATCTGTCTGAACCCATAACAATACAGAAAGCTCTTAGTAATCCAAATTGGAGAATAACAGTAAAGGAAGAGATGGATACTCCGTTGAAAAATGGAACATGGGAAATTGTCACTCTACCAAGAGACAAGTCTACTGTTGGGTAAAATCAAAGCTGATGGGAGTGTCGAAAGATATAAAGCGAGATTAGTAGCAAAACGATTCACTCAAACTAACGTAATTAACTAGCAGGAGACATTCGCTCTGGTAGCCAAGATCAATTCTATTCGTGTTTTACTGTCTATAGAAGCAAATTGTACTTTGCCCTTGCATCAGCTCGACATTTAAAACACGTTTCTAAACGGTGAATTAGAGGAAGAGATATTCATGGATCTTCCACTAGGATTTGAGAATAAGTTTTGAAAAGACAAAGTGTGCAGATTGAAAAAATCTTTGTATGGGCTCAAGCAATCTCCTCGCGCCTAGTTTGAGAGGTTTGAAAAGGTGATTACAAAGTATGGATACACTCAGAGTCAAACTGATCATATTATGTTCTACAAACATTCAAAAACTGGTAAACTCGCTATACTCATCATCTATGTCGATAATATTATCCTTACAGGAGATAATGCTAGGGAAATTGAGACATTGAAAGAAAGATTGGCCACAAAGTTTGAGATTAAAAATCTGGGAGATATAAAATACTTGCTCAGCATTGAGTTTGTCAGATCTAAGGAGGGGATCTTTATTAATCAACGAAAGTATGTACTCGACTTACTCAGTGAAACCGTAATGCTTGGGTGCAAAACAACTGAAACCCCAATTGAAGCAAATAAAATGTTACAAGTGACAAATAAAATAGATAGTGTTAATAAAGAACAATATCAGAGATTGGTAGGAAGACTAATCTACTTGTCACACACTCATCATGATATAGTGTTTGCTGTTGGTTTGGTAAGTCAGTTTATGCATTCTCCACATACTCATCACTTGGAGGTTGTCTATCTAATATTTAGGTATCTGAAAGGAATGCCCGGAAGAGGACTACTGTTCAAAAAAGATGACCACTTACTGGTAGAAGCATTTACAGATGCAGATTGGGGTGGGAGTGTTACAAATAGAAGATTAACCTTAGGGTACTGCAATTTTCTAAGAGGAAACTTAGTAACATAGAGGAGCAAGAAGCAAAGTGTTGTGGCAAGAAGCAGCGCTGAAGCTGAATTCAGATCTGTAGCTCATGGGATATGTGAAGTTCTATGGATTAGAAGAATTCTCAATAAGTTAAAAATTCATATTCCACCACCAATAAAGGTGTACTGTGATAATAAGTCTGTCATCGTCATCGCCCACAATCCTATCTTTCATGATAGAACAAAGCACATAGAGATAGACAGACATTTCATCAAAGAAAAAAATTGACGGAGAAGATATCTGCATGGTGTATGTTCCTTCTAACGACCAAGCAGCGAATATTCTAACAAAGGGTCTTCACAAAAAACAGTTTGACGGTTTAGTGTGCAAGCTGACTCTGAGAGATATCTTTATGCCAACTCAAAATTTAGAGTGCTCTGACTTAGAATTCATGCTTTTCACATATTTGTTATAATTTTATATTTAGAGGGTTATAAATTGTATAAGGGATCTTAGGATTCTATAATTATTTTTCTTCTTAATTGGAGAGATTATTTGCTCTTATATTTGTTATATTTGTTATTATTATTTTCCTTGTCTGCTGTATTATGTTTTTATTGTTTTCCTTACCAGTGAGGCCTGTAATGGGTATTTATACCCCTCTTTACATCAATAAAATTAAGCCCTCTTATATTTTTTCCGCTTATTTCAAAAAATAAAAAAATGAAATAAAAGGATAAAAAGAAGGTATCTATACAAGAAAGTGATATGATTTAAATTTTACAGAACTTTTGGCAACAATTAGTGATTGGAGCATATGAAAAATGTTTAATAGTGCTTGTAAGAATAATGATGGTGATAAAAAGCATCTTCAAATGGTTGATTTTGACTTCTATTATTCGTCTTAATTTTTACCGATGCAAACTTTTTGTTTTGTATTCTTTATCTTTTCTTACATAAACTTGTATAGCCCCATATTTTCATTAGCATTTCTTATGCACGTTTCCTTTCAGCTTCGATTTGATTGTATTCTTAAAGATGTCCTATTTTATTTATTTGCTCTTGAATTCATGTGCCTTTTGCTTGAAATGAGTAAAACTTCATGTTTTGGATTTTGTACTTATAATATGCTTTGTATATGCTTTTTGCTGATGATATTATTTTTGTAGGTGTATCCATTTACTCAACAATCGAACAACTATGGAATTTAGAATCAGCTCAACAAAGAAAAATATAGGCAGTTAAAATAATTGTCATGAGAAAATTATAAAATAGGAGTAGAAGTATAAGTTGACTTCTTATTCTGTATGCATCAAAGTGGCAGGCAACAAAGATGTTATTAATATTTGGGTTGTATGTGATATAGATTAGTATGTTAAGTTGGATTTATGCTAAAATTTAGAAGGATATAGCAAGAAATGATAAGACCCCAAATGTATGGGTTATGGATAATGATGATGATGATAGCAAGAAATGCTTGATGTGGAAGGAGGGAAAAAATAATTCTTCATGTGTTTTGATGTGCACCATGAAATATAGAAGAAAGTAAATAGAATTAACTTGAAAAAATTTGAAGGTAAAGCGATGGACTAAAGTTAATATGGTCAGAAGTTGGCCAGAAATGCATATGCAAATTATCGGTAATACTTGATGCGGCATTTGGGTTTAGGGTTTAGGGTTTAGGGTTTAGTGTTTTGGGTTTAGGTTGAATAAGGCTCTAGTGATGCTAATGATATTCAATATTTATTTCTTGTTTCTCTGCAAAGCTTTTTTTGAAGCAAGGTCTTTATGCTGCGCCTGCTTTCTTTGAGAAAAAGGATTAGCAATGCCGTGTCTTAAAGTTGCTAGAATTTCTTGTCTTATCAAGAATTTGCTGTTGCCATTTTCTTGGATGACCTTTTTCTCATCATTTAAAGTACAGCCGGATTTATGCAAGCCGGCAGTCTTAAATGTCTTTCTCTGACAACTTTTACTGCCATGTTGAATCTTCAGTGTATGTTAGATTTAGGGTAGGCATATGGCCATGATTTTGATTAGGGTGCTGCTACAGTACCTAAATAATTCACGCATAAAATATTATTTCCTTGGTTTTTATAGCGCTGACTTGTGTGTATCTAACCGACTGTGTTTTATGTCCACTTCATCTTTAGGCTTAAGGATCAAGATTTAAAGAAATCCTATTTCATGCATGAATTTATTTGTAGTGTGAATCATTTCTTTGATGTTTAGTTCATCTAATCACATCCTTTTTACCTTGAGTCTAAGCTGCTTGTTTCCTCACCAATTAACTTGTCTACTCTATTCCCCACTTGGTATCAGTTCTTCAGTTGCGCTCCTTTTTTTGGTTGCTTGTTAAATGTATTGTTGGATCTGTTGTCAGCTTCTTGCTTTATACACACTTTCTATGCTGTATTGACAATAAGGTTTTTTTCTTTTGTTTTGTGTTGCAAGCTTGTGCTCTATAATCCATTGAATGCTTGTTTGCTTTATACACCTTTTGAGTTTGTGAGATGTGATGGTTTAGGGTTATTAATTCTGACTTTTTCTTCAGTTGGTGTAACTGTCTCTATCTTCATAGTAAATGGGCGGAGCCAGCGACACTGAAGAACAACAGCTAAATGCAGTAATGGAAACAGCACCACCGCCCACGAGGCGCAGGAAAAGGAAGTCAATGGTATGGGAGCACTTCACTGTTGAAGCTGTGCCTGGAGGGTGTACGAGGGCTTGCTGTAAGCTTTGCAAGCAAACTTTTGCATACAGCACTGGTTCAAAGATTGCCGGAACAAGCCATCTCAAGAGGCATATTGCTCTCGGATCTTGTCCTAAAATTAAGTCGCAAGACAGGAAACAGCTTGCACTTGCGGCAGGTTTAAAGACTGATGATGGGGAAAGCCCTGATCCTCCTAAAAGACGCTATAGAACATCTAGTTTTCTGAATGCGCAATTTGATCAGGATATTTGCAATGAAAATCTTGCAAAGATGATCATTCTGCATGAGCTTCCTCTCTACATGGTTGAGCACTTGTCTTTTGTGGCCTTTGCTCAGAGCCTTCAACCACGCTTCAAGATGCTAACTTGTGAAGCCATTGAAACAGAAATCATGGCAGTTTATCAGAAGGAAAGACACTATCTCTTGCAAATTTTTGGAACAATGCTTGGAAGGATTAGCCTCACTATAGGGTTATGGACGACCAGTCAGACTCTTGGATATGTTTGCCTTAATGGACAGTTCATTGACAGTGATTGGAAGCTGCATAGAAGAATGCTAAACTTCATGATGGTATCTTCTCCACATTCTGAGAATGCATTGAGTGAAGTAATTGGCATTAGCCTTTCTGAATGGAACATGAAGGACAAGTTGTTCACCATTACTTTAGACAACAATTGCTCCTCGCATGACATCTATAGTGCAAATCTCAGAGATCATCTTTCCAACAAGAACACGCTTATGCTTAAAGGGCAGCTGTTTGTTGTGCGTTGCTATGTCAATATCCTGAATGTGATTGCACAGGATGTCATAGCTTCTATTCATGGGATAGTCTACAACATTCGCGAGAGCGTAAAGTTTGTAAAAGCATCTCCAACACGTGAGGAAAAGTTTGCCGAAATTTCTCTTCAGGTTGAGATCCCAAGCACAAAGAGCCTTAGCCTTGATATTACAACGCAGTGGAACACAACTTACCACATGCTCGTGGCCGCCCTGGAGTACAAACAAGCTTTTACTGTGCTGGAGACTTGTGATGATAATTACAATGAAGCACCATCACATGATGATTGGAAAAAGGTTGAAGTCGTTTGCTCTTTCCTAAAGCTTTTGTATGACTCTGCAAGTATTATCTTAGTTGCGCCTGATCCAACTTCAAACATATTCTTCCATGAAGCGTGGAAGATTCAGCTAGACTTGGCTCATGCCGTAGCTAGCGATGATGCTGTAGTGAGTAGTGTTGCAAAAGATATGCACGAGAAGTTTGACAAATATTGGAGAGATTGCAGCCTTGTGCTGGCAGTTGCAATAGTTATGGACCCTCGGTTCAAGTTGAAGCTTGTTGAGTTCAGCTTCTCAAAAATCTACGGGGAAGATGCTACTAGGTATGTCAAAGTGGTCAATGATACCATTCATGAGCTTTTTCTCGAGTATGTTGCACAGCCTCTTCCATTGACTCCAGCTTATGTGGAGCTGGGGGAGGCCAATGCTAGCATCCATGGGAATGAGGGTAATTCTCCGATTACTCCATTTTCAGCCGTGGATGGGCTTCATGATTTTGACATCTATATATCTGAAATATCTACTACCCTTAGTACGAAGTCAGAGCTGGATCAGTATCTAGAGGAAGCTCTAGTTCCAAGAATTCAGGAGTTTGACATCCTGAGCTGGTGGAAGCTTAATAATATAAAGTATCCTACTCTGTCCAAAATGGCTCGTGATGTCTTAGCCATCCCAATGTCTATGGTTAGTAGTGCGAGCGGTTCTTTATTTGGCACCGGAACAGGAAGCCGAGTTCTTGACGAGTATAGGAGCTCTTTGCGCCCAGACATTGTTGAGGCCCTTTTCTGTGCGAAAGATTGGCTGCAGTATCTGCCAACAATGATGGAACCACCCTCCAACGCCATTGTAAAGATGGAAATATAGGTAAATATGAGAATTCTAGACGTCTGGTCCCCCCACCCCCCAAAAAGGCAGCATTTTAGATATGGTGTACTTCCCAAGCACTGCAGCTTTTAGTGTTAATCAGGCATGGGTGTTTGCTTTCATACCCAGTGGTGCTAATATTTCTTTATGCGTGGCCGCTCTGAGTGTGTCGTGTGTCTGCGTGCACATCAATTCGGCAATCTTATTGAATGTCTGAATAAAATTGTATTGATGGCCATTTTAGATGACATTAATATGGTTTTGTATCTGTTTTTTTTTTTTTTTTTTTTTTTTTTTTTTTTAAATATCGTAGTTATCATATGCCATTGTGCGAGGTAAACTCTTTTGGTTGAGCTGCTGATTAATCATCGCAGTAGGTGTTCTTAGATTGCAGGAAATATTTCGTGCGGATTAACGCGCATTGATAGTATTATGGTTGTATTGTGGTAGTATTGTACCGTAATATTACCCAATATTATCAAAATACCATGAGAATAACATATACTATAGTATTTTGATGATATTTGTGATAGTATTGTGTTGTAATGCCATCATGATACCATGAATCGCAGGTGCGGTGTCCTGATGCAACATTTCTTCCTTCGATTGAGGTAGTCTATCTAGCTATAGCCCGCAAGAAAGAATGTGTCGAATTGACTTGTTGCCCGAGTTAATAAGTGATAAGGTGGTTGCTTGCAACAATGTGTTAGTTAGTGACACCAAACTGCCCCGTTGATGCCTAATAACATCGACATTTGCAGCGTGGTTTCTTGAATTCAAACAACAAGATAGAAACAAGTCCTTTGAGCATTTCCATCCAGTAAATTTTGAAATTACATTGTTCAAGAATCATCATAAAAGGAAAATTTCCCTATGCCATTTTGTGGTTGGATGGATAATTGGAACCCCCCAACCCCCTTAGAAACTAACTATTTATGATGTTAGGTGTCAAGCCATGCTTAAGGGTAATTTAGTCTTTTTATTGTTTATCATTGTGGGGTATAAATATGACTAATATGCTTAGGGTTAGGGTTGTGTTATGAGATTGTGGTCTTTAGCCCTAGGGCTATGGTTTTGGGACAGATCGTCTACATCTTGAATTGTAAGTGTTTATCTTTTATGCAGTTGAGTTGTGTTGTTTGGGTTCTTGAAATAAAATTTTTTATTTTGCCCAAATTTTTTGTTAAGTATCAAATTGATATGAGAGCATTCGATTATGGGAAACAAATGTTGGATTGCAGTATTTCCACAAAATTTTCATGTTTCTAGCTAGCATTAAAGCCTGTGGGATCATGACATGACCTATCCTCACAAAACAAAAGCGATTCCAATGAGCTAGAAAGCCTATGGCAGGATTGTAGCATATAAGATATGTGGAATCGTGATTGGGAAGCTTAGGACGAGATTGTGGTATATAAGATCTATTCTACTGAGAGTAACCTCTTGATATAGTCGTGATTAGAGCTAGCTTAAAAGGCCATGCCAAGATTGCGGCGTACAGAGAGCATAAACTCTCATCTTTCTCATCCCTTAGCACCGCTCCTACTCAAAACTATTGAAGAAGAGGACTATGGTACTAGAGTCATACAACAGGTCCCACAACCAAACCTCTTGACACTATCTTTTTGAGATAGTTGGGAAGCAAATGACGGGATTTTTGAAATAGTATAAGGAATAATGGCGGTCAAGAAAATATATGATTTAGAGAAAAGCTTGAAGGAAAATTTGAGTCAAATCAGATCTGGAATGGAGGAGCATTTCTTGGCCATGGAAGAACGATTCTCATTAATAAAGGGGATAAAATTTCCATTAAAATTTTGGATAATCAGGGGGCAGATAAACCTCAGAATGTTAAATTTGGCAAGTATAATTCAGAAATTACGTGCAGTTGTAAAAAAATTGAAATGATGAGGTTATTCTGTGCTCACTCCTTACAAGTTCTCAACTTAGAAAATATAACAAAGATAGTCGATAAATATCTCTTATTGCGATGGTTTATTCATGTAAAAAGGAATATTTATAATAGTTATGGATATAAACATCTTAAAGAGGCATAAATGTGGAACTAATTCGAGTGGACTCATATTCGCACACACGTCCAAATGTTTGCATCTTAAATTAATACCAAAGCACAAGGAAATGAAGCAGTTGAGCAATGCATGTTGGAATCATTGAAAAAATTATCAGTCAAAGTCAAAACCTAAAAAGAAAACAGTCGGTAAAAAATGCAATTTAAATGACCCAGCGAAGGTGTGCTCAAATAGCTAATACTAGATTAAGATGTATTGGGAGAAAAAGAAAAAGAGAGTAAAAAATATATGTTCATGTATCCCATGCCAGTTTTATATATGCACTATTATGTTTCTCTAACGTAAACCATGGTATATAGAAGAGCAAAAGAAAACTTCATCTAGCCAATAACCAGCCCCATGCAACGCAAATTTGTGTGCAATGTTGGATTATCTCATACATGTACATAACAAAAATTGAACATTAGAATTTTTTTATTGTTATATCTTCCTAAACATTCACTCATTATTACTCCAACATAGTAGGATTAGTTTACACTGCAACCCACAGAAACATATAATGGACTCCATTCGTGAGATATAATTCCTCACAAACTCTTCACTTATATAATTTTGTGGATAAAATTGTGTGTAAGAAATTTAACAATCAATTGTGGACGACTCCCAAAAGATAATAAGAAGCAACTTCTTGATCCATGTCACATCATCTTTTGCACAATAGAGTTATTCAACCCCCAATAGATAAAAAATTTCCCAACTATCAAATATCTTTTGAATAATGTTTATAGCTAACATAAAGATTTTATCTTTTTCTTGTGTTATGTAATTGGAAATCCAAATACTACAAACTTTACTCTACCCACATATCAGTGACATTTTGGACTTTCTAACCTGCATACATGAAACAACTTCTTATTTGATTAATTTTCTTCTTCGATGTGTTGCAGCAAATCACGAAGCAAAATTTGAAATCAGCTCCCCACCTTTAGTTGTGTATCTCCGATCAGCATGTTTGAGAATTCATTTATTCATTGTGCAAGATAAATAATCAATGAGTAAAATAAATGCAATAGTGATAGAGGATCACCTTGTTTTGGACCTCTAATAACTTTTAAAAAATCATGTGGTATTCCATTTTTCAAAACTTAATAATAGTTATGTTGTACAAATTTTATTATGTGCTCACAGAAGTCAGATTTAAAGCCTTTAGCCTTCAACACTTTAATTATGAAATCCCAATGAATAGTGTTATATGCTTTAAGGTTGCAATAATACCACAAGCAAACCGCAATAACACCACAAGCAAAATATAATAACACCACAATAACGTCACTCCATGATAATACAACATATCTGCCACAATTCCATTCAAATAACACCACAATAACACTTTGATAATACCTCCATATCATCTAAATAACCGCACAATAATGCTGCAATAACTTCATTCGATAATACAAGCACAACAACTACATTATAACCAAAATAACACTATAGTAACACTGCAATAACATCTCATTCAATACCAAAAAAATAAATTTGTTAAAATACCACAATAAAGCCACTCGAGAAAAACACCACATAACCTCCACAATAATACTATTATAACACACCAATAACAACATAAAATCTCTGCAATAATACCCAAATAATAATTTACTAACACCGCAATAATTCCATTGTTTTCTATGGATTCTTAATTGCCATCAACAACTCTTTTTTATGCGTTAATATAAGAATGAATGTCTAATTACATATTGTTATATTGATTAAAGATTATCTTAACTTAAATTTCTAGGTCATGTTTAGAACCTAATGTGTAACACTTTCAAATAGAAGCAACTACGAATGGGGTATTGTAAGGTATGCGCATTTTTTTGTGAGTATTATCAAGATTTAGAGCTTATTAAATAAATAAATTTAAATGAAAATAACTTTGCATTAATGAATAGCTGTATAATCTATTAATGACTCCAATATAAGATGTTGTTGTCAACTAAAACTTATTTATCATTATTATTTTGTGACATTAATCTTTCTTTCTTATCACAACATACTAGCAGATATATAATAATAGAAATAATTTTTTATTTTAGCTTATATGAAAATCTTAATTATACATAAAAAATAATTTAGAAGAGATGTTCTAATATTTAAATTAAATATTTGAAAAGAAAAAAAAATAACGAGATTCAACCTAATCAAAATAATTCATTACATAAGTGTGGTTATGGAAGTTCCCTTTTCTCCTCAATTCAAGAAGACATAAACTACAAAATAGATAATGTCGTACTTCACCTTCCTCGGTATGTTAGAGAATACTAGACAAGTAATGAAGGTGATGACAATAATCAAGAGCAATTGTTGGTTGATAATGATTGTACAATTATAGTTAGATAATGATGATTGGAAAATAATAATTAAGTGATGGTGGTCAAGTGATTATAATCAGACAATTAAAGTATTGTAATAATGCGATGATGGTTGCTAGAATAATATTTGTCATCAAATATTGTACAAGATTTTAGTGTTCTTTAGAATTTCCGAATTTCTATAATCTCATGCCGAGTATTGATTTAGGTCCAATCTTCCTTTTTACGAAGAATGTAACATATTTATAAAAATTGGAAGTGATATTTTAGCTGTTCTATATAAATTCTCTAAATTTTCCGTTGAACGGTTGAAATTAATCATCATGGGCTTAGATTTTTTTGTAAAGCATTTAAGTGCCTCAACGATGTCAATAATGAGCAATCTTAGGCTTATTAAATTTCTCTCATTGATATATTCATTTTAATTGTAAGCATACAAGATTTGGAGATTTGTGTGGTCCCTTAAGTAGTGTCATAAAATGCTAAGCTATACTTTATTTACATGATTTGGGCTCATTTATACTTGAATAAGAATGGTTTATTTATCATTAGGCTCGTATCATGTAATTGCTTGAGTAGCCACTTTTAACTATTTGAGGTCTTCCTAACTTTATTTAATTCATGAAATCATGCGTGCATAAAATCAGTGAAACGCACCAAATCATGTTTGGGAGCTGATTTTTATTTTTATGATGCTTTTCCTGAACGATGTAAACAATAAAAAGTTGTAATTTTTGTTTGACAGAAGGTGAAAGGTTGAAATGTAATTCGTAAGCCAGAAAATTTCGAATAAATCTGATAGTGTAAATGTGTAATTCTGTATATATATATATATAT